TCAACGTTGTTGAACATGCTGTCGTGGTCAGCCATGTTCGCGCTTGCATTGAAGCTCGCCCGGGCGAATCTGTCGGTCACAATAGCCGCTTCGCATCCTCTGAATTGAGGTGGAATCCAAGCTTGTTGAGGGATTGTAAACTTCACCATATGACCGTATTTTGAATGGTTAATAACGAACAAATCACTGATGTTACCAAGCAGTCTTCCACAGAACGTGRCGGCAAGATCATCGTACAGGTCGGTGTAGATATCAACGGTTCGCTCCACGGAGTCATCYGAGCTCAAGCTGCTGGAGCTACTAGAYAAGAATGCGTCATTATTTCGTGTTGCTATGGCAAGACACCATTCTGAATCGCTAGTGATGTCATCACTAGTGACGTCACTGTCGACGTCATCGATGACTTCATTGGACGCTGACTTTGGRTCTTCTTGTTTATCAACTTCTTCACCACACGCCMCTAAGTCATTGTCTTCCAGGATCTCTGTCACGAAGCCCTGTTGCAGGTTATTGACGTCATTACCCATTGCGTCATTATCGGTTACGTCATTAACCTCATCGACGTCATTATTGGTATCAAGGGAAATGTTTGACGTTTCGACATCGTTATCGTTGTTTTTATCCAAGCTTCCCTTAGAAGCGTTTTCCTGTTTTTCCAGCATGTTATCGTTGTGCAGCTTTTCAGGGTGTGGTTCCAACAGAGAGCGATCCCCTTTCGCCTTGGTTGCTATGAGAACATCGTTGTTGACATGGCTCTCTGAAATCAGTTATAGATGTTAACATAATTATGTAAGAACAATAGTGATAATTTAATAATTTAATTAATTAATATTTACATTGTTTCTGAATCTGTTATCTTTGTTATGTGAAATTTTGAACTATCATTAGTATAAACGGAACAACTCAGCGGCAATGCTATATAGATGTTTGCGGTCAGTTTCTATCTGCTGTGCTCCGCGATCAGTCGACGTTGCTAAGTAAAGGAAGCGGCTAGCTGGCAGCACTTTAGAACGCGTCAAGTTGCGTAATTCGCAATTTAGCACCCGTGCTTCCATGCAGGATAATAGCATCCATGAACTTTCCTTTCCGACATCTTAATTTCTATCATATATTGCTCTGCAATTTTTATAAAGACATACCTGAACCTACAGAATTTTCGTCACTGTCACTGTCACTGCTGAAATCGTAGAGAACAGAAATTGAGTTGTTAATATTACTTCTACAAGCCATGGCACCTTCACAATCGCTRTCGGTGGTATTCCAGGAATCGGTGCTGCTCTTGCAGTCCAGGAAATCTGCAGTGGTGATGGTGTTATCTTCAACCATACCAGAAGAAATCTCGATGTTACTTTTCACGGTTGCATTGTCCTCTCTGGTGGCCATGACAATTGAAGTGACGTCATTGTCTTCGTGGTCCATAGGTAATGAGATGTTGATAGAGTTGTTGGCACTTTCTAAATCCTGGTCACTATCACTGGAATCCAATGAATCGGTACTGTCTTCTCGATCCATAAAACTAGTAGTGACGCTGTTGGTTACGTGAGTCAAGGCCGTTTCAGTAACGCTGCCCGTTCCGTCAGACACAGTGGTTACGTCAGCCGTGGAGGTTACAGTGACGCTGCTGGATACGTCAGATACGGTAGTTTCAGTAACGCTGCTGGTTACGTCAGCCATGGTTTCCGTAACGCCTCTGTTTCCGTCAGTTACGGTACTTTCATCGACGCTACTAGTTACGTCGGGAACGCTGGGATCAGTGACGCTGCTGATTACGTCAGTCGTGGCGGTTTCCGTAACGCTGCTGGTTCCGTCGGCCACGGTAGTATCATCGAAGCTGCTGGATACGTCGGGAACAATGGAATCAGTGACGCTGCTGGCTACGTCAGACGTGGCGGTTTCCGTAACGCTGCTGGTTACGTCGGGAACGGTGGTATCAGTGACGACGCTGCTGGTTGCGTCAGTCGTGGCGGTTTCCGTAACGCTGCTGGTAACGTCGGGAACGGTGGTATCAGTGACGGCGCTGCTGGTTACGTTAGTTGTGGCGGTTTCCGTAACGATGCTATTTCCGTCAGTCACGGTGGTATCAGCAACGGTAGTATCATCGAGGCTGCTGGTTACGTCGGGAACGGTGGTACCAGTGACGCTGCTGGTTACGTCAGTTGTGGCGGTTTCCGTAACGATGCTGTTTCCGTCAGTCACGGTGATATCAGCAACGGTAGTATCATCGAGGCTGCTGGTTACGTCGGGAGCGGTGGTATCACTGACGACGCTGCTGGTTACGTCAGTCGTGGCGGTTTCCGTAACGCTGGTGGTTCCGTCGGCCACGGTACTTTCATCAACGCTGCTGCTTCCTTCAGTCAAGGTGGTATCAGTGACGCTGCTGGGTACGTCGGGCGTAGCGCTTGTAGTGCCATTGTTGTTATCAGCATCAGTCCCGGCTACAGCTTGATGGTTTCCACTGTCGATGGACGCATTTCCTTCAGCCATTTGATGCTAGAAAATGTAAAAGTTACAGTATGTACAAAAAAGATCCAAAAGTACGACAATTTATCAAAACACACAAGAAGAAATAAGAAATTAGTTCTCCAGGTATCAGTACTGA